CAGGATGAGATGAGCTGCTAAGAATCTTCATTGATCCTGCTCTGATATGCTCCACAATGAGGGCTTGTTATAAAGTACATTTACTGCTAGTTAGGAATTTCTAACTATTTGAGTGTCCAGAACTTGGCCAGAGTTACACTTTAAGGTTTCATTTTAAGATTTACAGGCTGGAGCCACAGACGCCTAAATGGAAAATTGTTTTAAGTTTTGTATTGTTTTGAGCTGTAAGGGGTTAGAACCTCTGCCACATCTGTACTGCTGTCTGCTCCCCCACTGGGAAGATTAACCTTCTTTATTTGTTCTGGTAGCCTCTGGTACCAGGAGTGAAATGAACAATCCAAAATGGGGAGTTGGATAAAAGAAGAAGAACAGAGGGATAGTCTTCCAATGGAAACACTTGTTGTGGTGACAACTAAGGGAGAATGTCTTCTCATTTTGGAGAGATTTCCTCTAACTTCCTATTGCGTCTACAGGACAGAAAGTGAAGCGAAATTTCCCCAACGAGATACAAAACAAACCTGACAAAACGTTTTGGCTTTAGATACAAGGAGCTTAAAAAATGTAAATGCCTGGGAGAGAGCAACCGAAAGGCAACCCCGAGTCACCAACCAAACCTTACCTCCTGTCTTGGCAGGTTGAACAGAACGCTACTTTCTGTGCATGAATCATGATAATGTTCTAGCATGTAAATGCAACCATAGCTCTAATATGGCTCCACTACCAATTTATTGCTAAGCTCCCCATTTTGCTCATGTGCATACCAACTAAGTCATTATTAATTATTTTAATACCCATTTGGGGGTCCTATGGTGACCTTCAGCCTCTTTTGTTTTGATTCCTTCTTAAGCCAGACATGTTGGGAAGTAGATAGTCCCTGACTGTCCTTCATTTACATAACTAAAATTCTTTCCTCTTTGTGGCTCTTGTAGGTCTATGTAGACGTATGTACAGGTGAAACTCGAATAATTAGAATATCGTGCAAAAGTAATGGCAGTAAGTGCTGCAAAAGGGGCCCAAACCAAGTACTGAGTACATATGCATGCTTGTACTTTTCAGAGGTCCGATATTGTTCTATGTACAATCCTTGTTTTATTGATTGCATGTAATAATCTACTTTTTTGAGGTTGTGGATTTGGGGTTCTTGGGGTTTTCATGAGCTGTAAGCCATAATCATCACAATTATGACAAATCACGGCTTGAACTATCTTGCTTTGCATGTAATGAGTCTATCTCATATATTAGTTTCACCTTTTAAGTTGCATTAGTGAAATAAATGAACTTTGCACGATATTCTAATTATTCGAGTTTCACCTGTATGTGCACTTACGTGTAGGTTATAATGTACTGCGTACCAAAGTGTGTTGTGGTGACATTCATTTTTAATGCCCCCTCTAATGCACTAACACAGTAGTAGCCAACCCAACTGCACTGCATTGCACCACAACCCACAGACAGTCTATTTGTGGTACGTTGGCAGCCAATGGAAAATGAATGACCTACCTTAGCACTATACACTTTAACGTGTGACACAATGCACACAACTCAAAGGTGTAAATAGACCCTAAAGCAATGAACTATTTAAATATCAAAAGTGTTTAGATCTGAACCTCTTATCCAGCTGCTAAATGATCACGTTTGTTATTTTCAGACACTTATGTACAGGAATAGTAGTAGTAAAAAAAAAGGGGAGGGGGAAAGTGTGTTCCTTTGCAGGCTAAAAAATGTCCTCGCTTCCCATATCTGAAATTTGGCAGGTAGGTCTCTGTGCTTAATGGTGGAAAAAGTAATCAAAGGGCTCCTTGCCAGAACATTTGCCCCTCCCCCCTTCCTGCACACATTCAACTATTTCCCCAGTACAAATAGTTAAAGGGTTATGAAACCCTCCGTT